CAAAGATAAAACTAAAAGCGTAAAGAAAAATATCTAAGAAAGCGATAAATGACTTGGGTTGCCTCCCAAGAAGCGCTCGTTTAACGTCATTAGCTTGACGAAACCTGAACCGAAATTAACCGGGATCCAAGAAAAAGTGTCGATCATGCCACGCCTTCGTACTCTCCAACAGTAGTCCCGTTGGTAGCAAGGAATATAGGCAAGCAAAGTAGACTCTCGTTGCCGTATTCTTGTGAAACCGAGCACGGATATCAACACCCATCAAGAGAAAAGATATTTCTTTACGTACCAAGGCCCCATATTCGACCTCCGGAATTATGAACATGTCTGTGGAGCATGTCGAATCCATCCCGATCATCACCAATGCCATCTCGGATGTGTGCTCAATAATTTTGGGAGTCAGAAGCATGTGCATGTAAGCACTAAACTTCTCCAAATGTTCATCATCCTCGATAACACGAAATGACCACCCAAAGGACATGGGAACCACTTCGTACTCAACATCATAAGTCGGGTCATTCATCAATGCACACTTCGGGTCAATGGCCTCACATAATGACTCGGCATCCTCCTCGACCTCATCCTTGACACCATGAACTACCTCCTCCTCAAAATCATCATGCCGAGCTCTTTGAACACCACTCGGCACAAGGGAATCCTCAAGTGAATTGTCCCTCATACCATGCACGGTATCGGCCTCTGAGTCCATACACTCGCTCTCATCAATAGCAATCGAACTCAACGCACAATCACCGAAAGGTAGGGTTGACGTATCTAACGCGGATTGGAATCTCGTATCGTCATAAGAAGGGATTCTTCTAACATACAAATCATTGATGTCCACACTCGCGTCGAGAGATTGTGTTCCATCATAAACGAGAGTGAGACCCATCTCTTTGAAAGAAGCAAACTTATCCACCATATATCGAAATTCGCCCTCTAACCGTGCACTTTCTCGACAAACATTTGCCGATAGATACTCATATCTACCAAGCGGAATATGAGATATGTCCAAGTCGAGAAAAGCAATAACGGTTGAGTCGAACTTCGTGAGTTTGGCTTGAAGATCAGATGGAATGGGGATGATCTTCCAATTATGAAACTCATCTATCATCGATAGGAGACTCGCAAGTATCTCTCGAGTGCTCGTCAAAACCTCTTGGTGATAGTCAGTAGATGAAGGTTGGTAATGAGGCGTCTCGTAGTGAGTTGGAGTGTAATAATCATAATCGCCTTGAGATGTTGGGTAAGAATGGCTCGGGCCATACTCTTGGAATGGAGAGTATCCGTCATAGAAATAGAGATTTGAATAGCTCAGACACGGATAGGGTGGCCCTCCATAAGAGTACATCTTCTCTTGGTAGTTGTCGGGGTATCCACGGGACGAGCTTCCGGCATAAGAGTGGCCGTACGGGTCCATTGGAGCTCCTCAAGCGAAACACCTCGCACAAGAAAAAACAAAACAACCAAGGCACACGAGACCAAAGAAAACAACAATGCAACTAACAATACACGATATTTACACAAATCCCAAAAAAAAGAAACAGAAAATAAGAAATCAAGAGAAACACTAAAATTAAGCAAATATCACAAGAGCAAGAGAAATACGGAAAATAAAATCAACACCAAAACCAAATATCCTACTTGTCTTCCCCGGCAACGGCGCCAAATTTGTTGTAGCAAATTATTTTTATTTTTACCGAGAACCGAATCAAAAGATTCGTTCCCCGGGTCGATCTCTCAAGGAAGACGTTTCGGTATTTAGCGTTGGCATTAATCACACACGAAAAGAAAATATGTCCTAAACACTCTAATCACGATTAATTTGGTGAATGAACTAAAACAAACTAGAACTAGAAAAGCAATTTAAAGAAATAACAATTAAATCTCTAGAGAAAAGGAAGAAGTTCTAGGGGTCGGAAAATCTCATCAAGTTTCAAACTATGTTAAACGATTATTTGTTCGGTTACGAGATTTAACAAGCCTACACGTCTAGAGGGCTATGCTCAATAACTCTTCGTAACAAGAGCACATACATAAACGATAAACTTATTCCAACAAGCAACACATAGACAATACGTTTCCGAACAAGTGTACTCTATACGAGCCTAAATCGACCGACATCTCCCCTCTCGGTTCTAAACATTGATTAACTAGGTTAGAATGGTGATCAATCAACTAACCCTATAATTCACACAACTCGCATAGATTGAACAAAACACATTCCACATAATTCAAACAAGAATCAAAATCCCTAACCCTAGGTGAATGGATTACCTCATGCTTAGATTCAATCTCATGTTAACTAGAATTAAAACATTAAAACCAATCAACAATAATAAAATATAATTGAAAAACTTACAATCGGATTAAGACTTGAAAGATTTCAATCCAAATGTCTTTGTGTCCAACAATCCAAGCATGAGAAAATAAAAAGAAAAGCGGAGAAAATTATCCTAACAATATTGAGTTTTTGGAGAGAAAACTTCAAAGGAATGATATTGTGTTTGTACCGTTTTTGTCGTAATTTTTCTTATTGTTCTGTCGTTATTTTTGTATCATTTCATGTCGTTTATTTCATTATTTATGCGATTAATATTGTATTGAGTGTTTTTCTTTAGTTCGTATCGTATATAGATTAT